CGACGGCTTGTGCACATTGTTAAAAATAATGCTTTGGCGGCAGCTGCTGCCACAGTGCATGGATCTTCACTGTATGACTGAAGATCAGCTGCGGTAGCCATCGCATGGCAAGCTCCACTTCATGAGGCAGTTTTCTGGATGCACCCACCATGCCATGCCAGAATTCGAAAGATGCCCAGTCTCAAGCCAGCTGTGGTGTAGTGGTGAAGAGCAGAGGACTCTAATCTGGGGAACTGGGTTTGCTTCCCCACTCCACCTCCACATGCAGCCAGCTGGGTGACCTTGGGTCAGCCCCAGTTCTCTCAGAACTCTCTCAGCCCCACCTACCTCACAGGGTGCCTGTTGTGGGGAGAGGAAGAAAAAGGTCGCTCCAAGACGCCTTTGGGTAGTGAAGAGTGGGGTATAAAACCAACTCTTCAAGAAAGCTGGGAACCCTGAACTAAGGCATTTCCTGTCCTAGAGAACATGCCACACACTGGGATTTGCTCTGTTGGTGAACCTGCTGTTAGTTCCGTAAGGGCAGTTTGCCAGCTTCCTACCTTCACAATGTCTCTTTCCACACCCTTTGGATGCCAACTGACCACACTACAAAAGAATCTCTGTTCACATGGGGAGGGGGCTGGTGAGACCCAACTGAACTGCGCTTACGGCACCAGCAACTTGAGTGCATATCATACCACACATTCAGTGCTCCCCAGAGGTGCATGCTGCAGAGGACGGAAGAGGCAGCCAGCGTGCCTTCCAAGGAAGAAGAGATTGGATTTATACCCCACCCTTCACTACCCAAGGAACTCTCAAAGCGGCTTACAAACCCCTTCCCCTCCCCACAACAGACACCCTGTCAGGTAGGTGAGAGAGCTCTGACAGAAACTGCTCTTTTTTGAGAACAGCTGTGCCAGAACTATGGCTTGCCCAAGGTCATCCAGCAGGTGCGAGTGGAGGAGTGGGGAATCAAACCTGGTTCTCCCAGATTAGAGTCCGCACACTTAACCACTACACCAAACTGGCTCTCACTGGAAGTGTCCTCACCTCCTTTGATAAGCTTTCAAAGAACATCACTGTTCCCAAAACCCAGAATGAATACCATTTTATAGCAGGGGTCTCCAACATGGCGCCCACGCCCACTGGCACCAGGGCACTTGCCAACAACTTCCCTGGTGCCCACAGAGAGTCTGTAGAAAGTGAGCAGGGCCAGGAGGGGCTTTTGTCCAGCAAGGCCAGAAGAGTTTGGATTCGCTATGCAGATTAAAAAAAAAATGTTGCTTGGGCAGTAGCTGCCACCACAGCACAAGGATATTCACCGTGTCACTGACGGTAAGTCCAACCCAATAACCTTTATTGGCATAACTATAGCTTTAAAAAAGATAACAAGTACAAGTCAGCCCATAGGCCAAAAAACAGAAGCCATCAAAGAACAGCGATTTGTATCATTGTATATAATAGTAATGATAGGGGAAAGTAATAAAATTCGGAACACTAAACTCAAGTAATTAAAACTTGTTGCAATAAGAAACTTAACTATCCTATCGCTTCATGGGCTTTTGGCTAAGATCAAGTGTAGTGTGTAGTGTAACTATCCTAAACGGAATCATAAATACACCTTATCTCTCTCTCCTAATCTCTCCACCTCCCTTCCTCTTCCTCAGAAATCCATAGGGATGGATGAGAAATTTGGAGAGAAAGGAACTGGTAGAGTTACTGTGCCTTTGGCAGGATTCACACATAACTGGACAGTGCTCCATTTGCAATATCTCTCCTCCTGTATTTTCAACAGGAAAACCCAGGCGATAAAAGGATCACAATGGCACAAAATGCAACGATGCGGGGATCCAACTGTAGTATGCCAAGGACCGCGCCATTGAAATAATCTGGCACGCTAATGAACAGTGGGTTCCATTCTGACCCATGAAAGCACTGTTTCAAAAGGAGGACTGGACAGTGATACATTTTGAGTCATTTCCTGTAGAATGAGTAGAAATGATCTAATCTATCTGGTGGGGTCGATTTCCCCCCCTTCCCCCTTCCTCTTTTTCTTGGTCCCCGAGCATATTTGCCAGGAACTCTGCCACCTGCTCAGTAACTAGGGTTTTTGTCCGCTAGCAGGAATTCAATACCTCTGTTGGTGGTAGCCTTAGAGAGTTGAAGGAGAGGGCTAATCAGGTGTAAACGAAGCTGAGTAAATAGTGGGCAGTTTAAGAGGATGTGCTGGGCAGAGTCAGGTTCTTTGCAGAGACACCTGCAGAGTCTTGCCTCATAGGGGATACCCTTGTATCTGCCTGTGACCACGGCCAAGGGAAATATATTGAGTTTGGCCAGCATAAATGCTCTGCGTTGAGAAGGGATTGTTAAACTTGAAAAGTACTGAGCCATAGTTTTTTGCGGGAAAGCAAGACCCAGGAAATGAGGGGGGGGGGACAAGTCCCCTCTGCTCCAGCTTTTATTAATTGTAAATCAATATCCTGAATTCTCCTTTGAATTATTTGAAATATATAGATTTTGTTGGAGTTAGCCAGGGAGTCTAAATCAATACCTAAATAATTGTCTCCCTTATTGGGTCCATTTAGAAACATACAGGTCAGCACTTAAAGAAACGATAAGACTATTCTTCCCCACCTCACAAGGTGTCTGTTGTAGGAAGGGGAAGGGAAAGGAGTTTGTAAGCCACTCTGAGACTCCAAGTGAAGGGTGGGGTATAAATCCAATCTCTTCCTCCTCCTCCTTCTATTTGGAGGGCGTTGAAAATGAAGATGTAACCAATATTTGATGGCAGCAATCCAAGCTCTACGTTCTATGGTATAGAGACCCAACTCAGCACACAAGGTAATGTAACTAATTAGTTCAACCTTTTTATTAAGGTCCTGAATCCACACGGGGGCTCCATAGAGTAACTGTGGAATCACTGTAGCCCGAAAAATCCGTAGAGCGGCCGGGACAAATTGCTTACCTTTTTGATAGTGAAAATGAGTTATAGCAGCCATCTTGTTCTTGGCCAAACTAAGGGAATGCTCCCGATGCATGGACCATTTTTGATTATAACGAAAGAGAATACCCAGGTATCTGAAAGATTTAACTTGTTCAATTTCTCTTCCATTGATCATCCAAACGGAACGCCTCCATGATTTAGAAAATACTAAAATTTTAGTCTTATCAAAAAATTTTTAAAAAAGAATTCTGATCACAAAATGAAATAACTACTGATAGGGAGTATTTTAATCCTACTTTAGTAAGAGAAAGAACTACTGCACCATCTGCTTGTAATAAGATAGGAACCGGAACTGAATTTAATTTGGGAGCATGTCCATCAATTTTAGCCAAATAGGAGGTGGAGATCTGAAAGGAAAAAATTAAATAGAGACGGCGCTAAAACGCAGCCCTGCTTTACACCCTTGGCCACAGGAATTTCTTGTGTTAAGGAGCATCTAGCATCAAATCTAATCTGACAAGTGTTAGAGAGATGAACTTTACGCAACAAAAACAAAAGGTGTTGGTCAAGATCCAATTTGTATCATTTTTCCCACAGGGTCTGACTGACCGTAAGTCGCAACAGCCATTTTGTGGCTGGCTTCGCCTCCCGCGGGAGCCATTTAATGGCTGTGCCCACCTTGCTGTGTCAGAGTTCCAAAGGTGCCCACAGGCTCAAAAAGGTTGGGGACCCCCGTTCTATAACATTTCAAGAATGAGGTAATCTAACCTAGATGGAGCTTCTTTTGAATCAACAACATTAAGTGCTTTGGGGCACTCTTTTTTTCCCTGGACCAACCTTCAGTTTGCAACCCGCAACCAGCTGCAAGATGCTGATTTGTGCTTTCTGCCCTGCACACCCAGTTAACATAAGAGAAGCCAATGATGGATTGGGCCAATGGCTCATCCAGTCCAGCACTGTCACACAGTGGCCAAAAATACCAGGTGCCATCAGGAGGTCCACCAGTGCTCCCAGTCGCCGCTTTCTCCCCGTGCCGGGGAGCAACAGCGCACCGCTAACGGGATCCGTGGGATCCCGCCGAGGCGTTTCTTTTTTGGCGCGGCTTTTAAAATCCGCGCTTCTCCTCGTTTTTTTCCCTGCCGTGTGGCAGGGGCAAAAGATGGAGCTTCTTTTGAATCAACAACATTAAGAGTTGTTTTTTGGCACTCTTTTTTCCCCTGGACCAACCTTCAGTTTGCAACCCGCAACCAGCTGCGAGACGGATTTGATGCTGATTTGTGCTTTCTGCCCTGCACACCCAGTTAACATAAGAGAAGCCAATGATGGATCAGGCCAATGGCCCATCCAGTCCAACACTCTGTCACATAGTGGCCAAAAATACCAGGTGCCATCAGGAGGTCCAGCAGTGGGGCCAGGACACTAGAAGCCCTCCCACTGTTGCCCCCCCCAGCACCAAGAATACAGAGCATCACTTGTCCAAGACCCAGAGTTCCTATCTGTACCTTGTGGATAATAGTCACTGATAGACCTCTGCTCCATACGTTTATCCAATTCCCTCTTGAAGCCATCCATGCTTGTAGATGCCACCCCATGTGTTAATCACTCCTCGGGTGAAGAAGTACTTCCTTTTATCCGTTCTAACCCTACCGCTCAGCAATTTCATGGAGTGCCCACGAGTTCTTGTATTGTGAGAAAGGGAGAAAAGTACCTCTTTCTCTACCTGTTCTATCCCATGCATAATCTTATAAACCTCGATCATGTCTCCCCTCAGTCATCGTTTCTCCAAGCTAAAGAGCCCCAAGCGCTTTAACCTTTCTGCATAGGGAAAGTATTCCAACCCTTTTATCATTCTAGTTGCCCTTTTCTGCACTTTTTCCAAAGCTATAATATCCTTTTTAAGGTGTGGCGACCAGAACTGTACACAGTATTCCAAATGAGGTCGCACCATTGATTTATATAGGGGCATTATGATATTGGCTGATCTGTTTTCAATACCCTTCAAATTCAAAGCCATTTCTGAATGCCTGAATCATAAAACAGAGAGTGAAACTTTCTTGTTTTGACAGCAACATTCGTATGTTTTTTTATCCCACCACGTCTGTTTCTCCACAGCGCTTCAGCCAGTGGCGCAGCTGCAGCCAGCCCTTCCCCTCCCCATGGCCTTTTCTCTCCCCCGGAGCCAAGCCGCTTGGTCTGCCTCTCCTCTTCTAGCCATGCAGGGCCCTCACGTGCTTCAGCAGGTTCGACTTATGGTTGAAGGCCTTGGAGCAATGCTTGCAGCTGAAGGCTGGGTACTTCTGATGGGTGCGCTGGTGCTGCAGGAAGGTGGAGCGATGAGTGAACGTTTTGGAGCACTGGCTGCACTGGTGGGGCCGCTCCCCCGTGTGGACCCGCTCGTGCTCCTTGACCGAGGCCTCCCACTTGAAGCGCCGGTTGCAGTGCGCGCATGCAAAGGGTTTCTCCTGTGTGTGGATGTGTGTGGATGCGCAGGTGCTTCACGAGGCAAGAAGTCCGCTTAAAGCGCTTGGGGCACAGGTGGCAGGGGAAGGGTGCATCGTCTGAATGCACCTTGCCATGCTTGTCCAGGTCGGCTTGCAGCTTGAAGCGCTTCCCGCAGACTTTGCAGCGGTATGGTCTGGTGGCTGAGTGCACCAGGCGGTGCTTGATGAGGTCAGCACAGCGGGTGAACGTCTTGCAGCATCGCTTGCACTGGTACGGCCGCTCCCCCGTATGGATGCGCTGGTGCTCCCGGAAGCTTGCCAGGTACTTAATGTCCTTCCCGCATACGTTGCAGTGGTGCACATCCGGGTCCCTGGAGGAAACCTGGGGACACTTCCATTTTGGAGCCCGGGTAATCTTCTTCCGGACCTTGGCAGAGATCTGTCCAGCATCCATGATACACCTGGAATATGAGATTTCAAGCTTCATGTATAGTCCATTGCAAGCATCCATGAGGAGTATGAACTGTCTCCAACTGAACAGGCACAATCACACACACACACACCCCCGCGAATGACTTCCATGTAGACCTGGATGGCCCAGACTAGCCCAATCTGGTCAGATCTCATAAGCTAAGCACGGTCAGCCCTGTTTGCTACTTGGATGGGGGACCCCCCCCCCAGGCACTCCAGGGCTGCTACGCAGAGGCAGGCAATGGCAAATCACCTCTGAGTTTCACTTGCCTTGAAAACCTTCCCGGGTTGCCATAAGTTGGTGGCAACTTGGCAGTGCTTTCCACCACCACCAGTTAACTAATGTGTCAATTAGGTCCCACTGGCATTCTACTTGCTAGCAAATATTTCTGATCTACAGAAGGGTACGTACACACAAAAGCCTATACCAGGAATAAAGCTCTGTTGGTCTTGAAGATGTCCCTTGAGTCAAACTTTGTTCTGCTACAGCATCTAAGTTATTGTTCTTTTTTTTGCGGGGGGAGCAGTCTAGAAAAAGAATGAATGCACTCCAAGTGCAATAACAAATCTCCCCACCTCAATTCCTTTAGCTTACGACATGCAAAGCAACAGCAAAGGCCTAGCACCCCCCTCCCACCCCATAGCCTATTTCCAGCAACTAATGAAAGAGGTACAATGTGAAAGGGGTGGGCTGCTGGGTAAGGAACCCCGCCTCCTGGGGGGGGGGATTCCGACTGTCTCCTCCCAGCAGCTGCTCTCCCTATTGTTCTTCTGCAAGATCCAGGTAGTCAGTCATGTTGGTCTGAAGCAGTAGAACAAATTTAGAGTCCAGTGGTACCTTTAAGATGAACGAAGGTTTATTTGAGGTATGAGCTTTTGTGTGCCTGCAACACTTTTTCAAATACGCTGGAATGGAAGACAGAGTTCAAGCTTAAAGACAGGCTGAACAGCAAATTTACATGTAACCTTTGCTGGTCTTCAAGGTGTCACTGACTGGACTCTAGGTTTGTTCTACTGCTCATGTGCCATGTTAATTTGCTGTTCAGCCCCGTCTATAAGGTTGAACCTTACCTCCCATTCCACTGTATTTGAAAAAGTGTTGCAGACACACGAAGGCTCATACCTTGAATAAACCTTTGCTGGTCTTCACAGTGCCCCACCGGACTCTTCATTTGTTCTTCTGCAAATCCAACTTACTTAACTGTACCAGAAAGGAAACCTAAGCAGGTACCGGAAATAGAAGCCCGGGTCAAAGGCGAACCGAAGCGACCAGCGACCCCTTGGTGGGAAATCCCTCCGAAGACACACACACACACACCCCCTCGACGTGGAAAGCAAGGCAGCCGGCCGCGCCCTCCGCTCCGGCGGGGGAACTGGGCGGCCCGCCCTTCGCTTCTCCGAAACCACGTCCGGAGGAGGCGCAGCGCCGCAGAGACACTCCGGCCACGGAGCCCCCCCCTCCCCGCACAGCTTATCCACGTGCATCTCTCTGGGCACCCCATCTCTGTGATCTACGAGCACTTCCGGTGCGAGGTTCCGCATCAGGCCGTGGAAACTCGACAAGCGGCGCCAGTGGCTCCCTCGGCTGTCTATCTACCGGGACGAAGAGCAACAGCATTGTTTGTGGGCAACTGAGGAAGCCGCGAACACTGGATGCCGGAAATCCATTGTGTCGCTCGTGCCTTTTCCCGTCTCTATGGTTACACCCAGTTTCTTTGGCCTGTTCTTACTTCCGGTCTCGTAGAGCGGACGTAAAGACAAGCTTGGGGAAATGCTTGTAACCCGGGATGGCTCAAGAAGGGCGGCCACGTTAGTCTTTCTGGAGCAGGAGGAAAAAAAAGAGAGTCCAGGAGCGCCTCGGAGACCAACAGCATTTGTGGCAGGAGAGGAGCTCTCCTGAGTCGGTATCTGCAGAAGGGAGCGGTGACTCAGGAAAGCCCCTTCCCTGCCACACATGTGGTTGGTCATGAAGGTGCTCCTCTGCTGTAACCCGAGAGGAGAAAGGCAGGAGCGACAGGAGTGAACTTCCGGCTTGTTTGCTGTTCTGGCAATCTGTTTTGTTTTTTTCGGGATGGGTTTCACTTCGAGGGAGGCTCAGCGCCCATAGACGGTTACGGTCAACGGTATTTCGTAGGTTGCACTTTTAGTTGAAGCCGCATCTGAAGGAGCTTCCTCAACCCATCACCAAAGAGGCGGGCTAAAGACTGGAAATACACTTCCAGCGTAGCCTTCTCTGTGATTTGCGTTCCTTCATAGTCTCTATGGTCACCCCCCCCTTTTTTCGGCTTCATCTGGAAGGTTCCACGAGGTCTCATCCCACCGCGGGAATCTCCATGGTGACCAGAAAGACGCTTCCTTCCTGCGCCGGAAGCACTTTTCTTTATTGATGCCAGACTTCTTCCCGCTTCGGATTGCGCAGGTCCGCCAACCCAGAGCCACGACACCAACATGGCCGCGGTGATTGGCTGCTAGGGAGCAAGATGGCGGCCTCGGAGGAAGCGGGGAGGTGCCTCATCCAAGATGGCGGCGGCGCCTTCGCTTTCAGCCGAGATGGCCGGCAACGAGAAGCGACGCCTGCCGCCGGCCAGCGAGCCCGGCCGGTTGGCCGCCTCGAGCAACGGCGCCCCGGAGGCAGAGGCCGCCTTCCTGTTGCAGGCCGGCGTGAGCGACATGGTCCGGGGCGCCTTGCTGAAACTGCTGGAGGCGCGGCCGGAGGAGCCCGTCGAGTTCCTGGCCGGCTACTTCGAGAGGCTGATGCAGAGCGGCGCCGAAGGGAGGGCGGACGGCGGAGACCCGCCGAGGCCGCTTCACTGGCGCCTAGACCGGGCCCTCTGGTACCTGCGCCTGGCCCACCATTCCCACAGGTGCGTCTTTGTGGAGGGAACGGGAAACAGAGAAAGAGGTGCTGAAGAGCTGGACTACAGCCCCCAGAAAGCACCGGGGCATGTTGAGACGCGCGGCTTTCTGGGAAACGTAGTCCTTCAGGTGATCTGGAGGGGCTGGAAAGAATGGGAAGAGAATCCTCCTCAGTATTTGGAAACTTCTTGCCTTTTGTACAGGTTTCCTCTGCACCTCTTTACTCCTAAGCAGGGCACACACTGAATCGGATGGGGCCTAAGCTCTGCGTAGGTGTACAGAAGAGTGCTATGATGCTCCCTGTATATTTATTTATTTATGCATTCATATCTCACCTTTCTCCATATCGGGGACCCAGAACAGCTTACAACGTTCTCCTCGCCTCCATTTTATACTCTCAGATCACAGTCTAACACTCTTAACCCATACACCACACTGGCGCTCTCTGTAATATGTGCTCTGAAACGAGACCCACAGAGTTCAGTTTTGTCTACTGGTATCAGCCCTGAGGAGCTTGAAGCACCTTCTATGATTCTCCCTTCCCCCAAACAACTCTGTAAGGCAGGCTAGGCTGAAAGAATTACTGCCCCAGGAAGCATCATGACTGAGTAGAGATTGTCATCTGATCCTTTAAATCCACTCAGTACATTGTCCTTGCTGAGCAAGTGAACGGCTTGACCTTAGCATGTTTACTCTGTATGAAGATGCTGAGAGTACCAGGCTTGTTCTCAAGTAAGTGAGCATTGGCTTGCAGCTTTGTAGTATAACTTGCTGTGCCTTTGTAGCAAGTGCTCCCAAGCCAGGGCATGTAGTATTGTAGTCTTTGGTGTTGACCATCCTGTGCTGGAAACTGGACTACTTCTGTTCTTTGTTTTCAAGCACAGAAGGGGCTGTGGCTCAGTGTAGAGCCTCTGGTTGGCATGAAGGAGGTCCCAGGTTCAATTCCTGGTATCTCCAGTTAAAACATCTGGCAGTAGGTGATGGGAAAGACTTCTGCCTGAGACACTGGAGAGCTGCTGGAAGTCTGAGTGGACATCACTGACTTTGCTGGACCAAAGGCAGCTTTGTGTGTGCTTGTTTCCAATATGTAACTTTTCCTCCTCCTTGTTCCAGTAGAACAGCCTTCAGCAACAATGTCAGCATGGCATATGATTCCTTGAGTGCCTGCGGGAGACGGAAGAAGCCTGGGGTCAATGGAAAACTCTACAGTGAGTTGCTGAAAATGCTCTTCCGAGACAGAGGAGCTGCTGAAGAAATCGTTGCACCATTGCTTCAAAAGATAACGTGCCGAGACCACGAGGCGGTGCCATTTGATGTCTTCCGCTACGGGGTGCTCACTTGCCTGGTCCTCCTTGAGTTTTTGGCCAAGGCGAGCGCTCTCTATGAGGCACTGGATAGTGGATCCGGAGTGGCTGATCAACGGGTCTGCTTGGCTGTGCTCAGCACTCTGGAGGAAGTGCTTCGCACCAGCGGTGTCTCCAGTCCAATCCGTTACTTGGAGGCTGGGTCCAAGCTTGGGCCAGACTACTTAGCTCTGGCCATGGACAGGGCACTGGCTGACAGAAAGCCCAGTGTGGCCATGAAAAAAGAGGAGTTCCTCAAGAAAGCATCCGCCATTTTTGTCGCCAAAGTGAAACCTATTGGCTGAATTGCAAGCCAGGACAAGTGCCAGATTGACCAAGGATGAAGTTATTTGGGATGAAGTGAGAGAGGGCGCCTACTTTCTCTTTTCTGGAATGGGACAGGCAGGATAAAAAATGGGGACGAGGGGTGTACGTTGCCTCTGGACTTAAGCAGAACTACAACTTTGTAAGCTGTGTCAAACGGCTGAAGTTCTCCGTACTGTATCTGATTCAGTATATTTTATAGTGAAATGTTGAGCTTGCTGAAGGATATTGAGGTAAATTTGATTACTTCTACTGAGAACTTACAATTGAATTTAAACACACACAAATGGCTTGTTTGACTTTTCACTGGAAAAAATACCACTGGTGGTTAAAAGTCATGTGTCCATGAAACAATCTCTTTTCAGATGTCTGTTCCTAGCCTATGATTGTCAGCAATATTTGGCAAGTCCTGGGAAATTTTTCTGTCAGGGCCTGGGGAGGGTGAAGTTTGGGAAGGATGTGATGTAATTTCTGGTTGACTAGCTAGGAATTACCCCTAATCTTTATGGTAAAGACCATAGAGACATGGAGAAATTCCTGGAGCACCACTATGAAGGCCATTTTTTTCTCCTGCTCCTCAGTTTCTAGAGGGTGAGGGATTGGGGCCGAAGACAAGGTTTCACCCACCATGAGCAGACAGATGGTAAGATCATCCTAGCTGCCATGCAGTTCTCCACTTCTCTTGTAATTTGAGGTGAATTTTGAAATCCACGCAACACTGCGTCCTGGAGTGCTACGTCCTCAACTCTGTGTCTTCTTTTCAGATTTTCCAGGAGTCATGGGAGCTTTTGGGCATACATCTATTTCAGATTCCTGAGTTATGCAGATGCATCGTCATCATTTCAGGGGAATGTGTTGGTCTTCGCCTTTCCAAAGAGACAAACATGAGAGGTTTTTCCAGGACTCCAGGTGCAGTGCACTCTCTCTTCACCTCATTCTATCCTGTGGAATACTTTAAACAGTTTTAATACTCCAGTGAGTGTCAAGTTTGTATGGGCATTCTTGAGGAGGACCTTGAAACGAGGCACAGCCAGCAGCCTTGACTAGACGGGAGAGAAAGCAGAAGTACAGTCAAACAAAAAGACAGTAGATTACCCCCTGTGGGGCTGGGGGAAAGGAGGACAGCTAGACATTTGCTGGAAGTGGTGGAGAGACAGCTGCTGTGAGCCATAGTCCCTCTAATCCCAAACAGCATCAAGTGACAAGGTTTGGCACACGCTTGTGAGAAGAATGAAAGGGAGGCACCAAGGCTGTCTGGAACAGAAAGCACCAAGTACCCGGAAGGCCTCACCACAGCTCCTACAGGAGAAGATTGATGAGGATAGCTATACTTCCCTGAAATGCCACTTGCCAACTGCTCTTCCCCCATGAAGTACAGCTGCGTAGGTGTGTTGGGTGCTTTACAGGGAGAAAAACTGTTCGTGGGTGAGAAGGTAACTATGCGGGGGGGCTATGTAAGGGGCAAGTGTCCCCTGCGCACAAGGCATCCATGGCCAAAAAGCCAGGGCAGTACAGCAGAGTGTCAGACTAAGGAATTAGAAGGACCTGGATTCGAGTCCCTGCTCGGCCTCAGAGCTCACAGGATGACCTTTAGCCAGCTGCTCCTAACCTTCTGACTCACGTCACAGCATTGCTGGGAGAAAAAACAGGAGGAAGAGGGAGGCCTGTAAGCCGCCCTGAGCCCAGTGAAGGAAAAGCAGGGTGAAAATGTGCTCTGTAGGTGGATTCTTCAGCTGACAAGTTGATGTGGGAACAGTTCCCTTGAAGGCTGGAAGTTCCAGTAGACAGCAGAGGAGGAAAACCGTAATGGAGCTGTCTTTTTTTTTTTGCTTGCAGTCTCCTCCGTTTTCCCCCTGAGCTCACTGCACTTAAAAATTTCAAACCGTAGGCTGGTGCAACATTATAGGTGATTGTAGAGTCGGCAGCCGCTCTGCATCGCCGCCTTCTTTGCCAGGTACCCTTAGCACATCATCCACAGGGCACGAGGCGCCCAGTTAAGCGGTAATTGCTTTAAAATGCTTTGACCAGCTGCAATTGCAGGAAGGGACTCCACTTAACTGGCAGGCATGTAATAGCGCTAAATGAGGAACCTCAAACAGGTAATTTAGACTGGGGTTCTACAGGTGGAAACCACAAGAACAGCTGTGTCATTACCCGTGAAGGATGGCTCCATCTGTGCTTCTGTTCTCTCTCCCGGGCAAAGGCTCTGCAATACAGTTGCTCAATAAACTCTGTGGCCCATTTTTTTCCCCAAGTTAAAATTGGAAATACGCTCAACAACTCAAAAGGCTTGCTTTTCGAGCATGACCGTGAAACTGCTACCTACGAGGAGCCTCCTTACATATCTGTAGGAGTTGCTATTTTGGGCAGGCCACCTAATCTGAATAGAATGGGGGGCAAAACACTGCTTCATGAAGAGGGGCAGTGGGCGATGTCTTGTGTGGGTGTGTGGAATCGTGCTGCATCAGTGCCTTGAGAGATGCTGTTTGGATTCTCTGAGACCATCCCATGGTGAGGTGTGGCAGAATTACCGGTGGAAGCTGATCGGAAGGAGGAGGAGCCACTCGTGCAGAGAGGCAACGGGCTACCTCCACATCTGACAAGGACTTTTTGAATGAAATCCTGCCTTGCAATTTGGTTCATTATATTCCAGCTCTTTGACTGGGGGAAAAAAGTTACAAGGAAATAAAGTTAATTATTCTACCCAGCATTGTTCAGTAGGAGGTCAACCCAGTTTTTCTTCCAAGGTCAGAGTGCTAAGCTTTGGGATGGCTGGCAGGTGCCTGGGTGCTTGACACTTTACAGTAATTTACATCCCATTTAATTTAATTCAAATTTAAGTTAAATGGGTTTAAGCACGGTTGATTACTTGTATTTTAAGGTTTTGTTATATTTGCTTGGGCCAGCAGTGCCCCATGTAGCCTTTATGTCTGCTCATTTTTCCTATGACTGAGGAGGATGACCTGTGTAAATGCCCACTGTACTATCTTTGTTTCTCTTTTTAACCATTCCCTTCCTCTCAAGGAATTCTGGGAACTGTGGTTCTAGGAGGGGTGGCTAAGAGGAAGAAGGATATGCTGTCAAGTCACAACTGACTTACGGCGACCCCCATCCATGGGGTAGCGTTGCCAGGTCCCCCGGGACCACCGGTGGTGGGAGGGGTTGCCAGTTCCAGTTTGGGAAACTCCTAGGGATTTGGGGGTGGAGCCTGGGGAGGACAGGGACCTCAGCAGGTACAATGCCATAGAGTCCACCCTCCAAGGCATCCATTTTCTCCAGGGGGACTGATCTCTAGCCTGGAGATGAGCTGTAATTCTGGGGATTCCCAGGTCCCACCTGGAGGCTGGCATCCCCACCACGGGATGTTCCAGACAAGAGGCAAGCAGAGGCAGTTTGCCATCACCTTCCTCTGCATAAGCAACCCCTGCCTTCCCTGGTGGTCTTCCAACCAAGTATTTGAAACTGCTACCTACGAGGAGCCTCCTTCTTACATATCTGTAGGGGTTGCTATTTTGGGCAGGCCACCTGATTGTGAGGGGAGCCGTGACAGTTAATTTCAGTTAATTTCAAGTGAAGCTACACCTGGCGTTGGGCTCAGCCATCTTAGTTCCATTCCCCGCTATTGTATGTGTAACAAAACACACACCAAGCGTGCAGAAGAGTTCTATGTGAATCAAATCCTGTGCAAATTTGTCTAAATAAAAATTGTCTCCAGGCTGCATCATGGATGAGAAATTTCCCACATGGGTGTATAAATGGTGAGAGCAGGGACACACGTCTTACCTGCCCCTCCCTCAGTGTCAGCTGTACACAACACAGTCTAAGCTACAGGGATACCAGGTTATGAATTCAGCTGATGCATGACCCCAGTTTAGGCATAAGGAGACGAATAGCTGGAAGTCCTTTGCTCAAACCGCCATGAAATGCAGGGCTCATATTAAAGGCAGCAACATTTGTAAAGATCTAGAGAAACAGTGATATATTTGGTGGAGCTTTTGAGACAGTGATGGATATCTTTGTGATGATGCAATTGTTCTTGAGCTGAATACTGTAGATTTCAGAAATTCCTATAAAACAACTGTCAAATTGTAAATTTTGGTGATGGCCTTTAAAAGATACTTCCTGCAGAGGCAGATGGGAACTGTAATCTTCCCATTGTTTTTAGTCAGCCATTTAGTCTCTCTGCAGCCAAGTGAGCAAGCTATGAAGCCAGTTGTGTCTGGTGCCGACGTGAATAGTAGCATCTGCCTGGATTTTTCAGGGTTATGACCAAACCAAAGATGTGGTGGTGGTGGTGTGTTTTGCAAGACTTACTGTTTGCTTTTCCATGTACAAATTAATTTCTGATCTTGGATATGCCAAAGATGAAGTTATTTCCTGCATTCACAAAAGATTTTTGTTCAGTCACACTGTCGAGTCCGACTCTTTGCAACCTCATTAATTCTGGGGATTCCCAGGTCCCACCTGGAGGCTGGCATCCCCACCACGGGATGTTCCAGACAAGAGGCAAGCAGAGGCAGTTTGCCATCACCTTCCTCTGCAGAAGCAACCCCTGCCTTCCCTGGTGGTCTTCCAACCAAGTATTGCACTGGGGAGCCTAGGCAAAGTTGGGCTATTCAGGCTGCCGGTGGGCTGAGAGAAGTCAGTGTTGTGGGGGGAGCCGTGACAGTTAATTTCAGTTAATTTCAAGTGAAGCTACACCTGGCGTTGGGCTCAGCCATCTTAGTTCCATTCCCCGCTATTGTATGTGTAACAAAACACACACCAAGCGTGCAGAAGAGTTCTATGTGAATCAAATCCTGTGCAAATTTGTCTCCAATCTCTTCTTCTTCTCTTCATCTCATCCTTTGAGGTCCCCTTCTTCTACCTTCAATCTTTCCCAGCATCACATTTTGACTAGGCGTTGTAAACTTTTTTGTTGAGTTTTTACTCTACTGCTCTATGTGAAATTGGCTTTTGAAGCAGGCTTACAAAATGGAAAGTGTGGAACAAAGCTTGAGTCCAGTGGCCCTGTTCAGACTAACAACGTTTAATTCTGGGTATAAGCTTTTGTACACATGCACATTTCTTCAGAGTGCATGCACACAAATGCTTTTACCCAGAATTAAACTTCGTTGGTCTTAAAACTGCCACTGGACTCAAACTTCGTTCTGTTGCTTCAGACCAACAGGACTACTCACCTGAGTCATCAAAAGGGAAGGTGGAACAGTATGGAGAGCTAAGCAAAGTGATCTGGAAGGTCACTGCTTCAGATCTTGTGGCAGCCACAAGCTCATCACTAGGGGAACTTCTGCTTCCACTCTGCCTCCAAATTGCAACGGGGAGACAACTCAGACCTACAAGATGTGCGTGAAGGGATTTTAATATTGAAAGCACTGGCTTATTTATTGTATATAGATTCTGTGATTTCAGTTGAAAAGTGAAAAAATGAAATTGTACTATTATATGATTACAAACGGGGGACCCACAAGGACCTGCAGGGGGCATTTTTCCTCCTACACTTTTTCCTCTTTTCCTTCCCCGAGAGCCCCCATAGCCTCTTTTCCCGTTTCCTTCTCTTCTTCCCACCCAACTTACATATATCTGCCCCCCCTTCAGTGTTCCCTCCTTCACGTCTCCTAGCATCCGGGAGCATCATGTATCCTGTGGAAGACTATGGCCCAGTTGTATGGTACCAGTCATTAGACCAGGCACAGTAGGGAACCCCCAAGGGCTTGCTGGGGCACCTTGCTTATCCCTGTATTCCCCCCACACTATTTCCTCTTTTCCTCCTTCTGCCAACCACCATGTATTTTCCTTTCCCTGCTTCCTTCTGCCCACGCACCAGCCTTTTCTGTACCTCCCATGTTCAGCTATATCTTATTTTTTTACTTCATTTATACCCTGCCTTTCTCCCCAATGGGGACCCAAAGCAGCTTATATCATTCTCCTCTTTTCCTTTTTATCCTTGCAATAACCCTGAGAGCTAGGTTAGGCTGAGAATGAGTAACTGGCCTAAGATCACTCAGTGAGCTTCCACACCAAAGTTGCGATTTGAACCTTGGGTCTCCCAGATCCTAGTGTGAAACTCTAACCACTAAACCACATTGGCTTTCATGGGGTGGTTGTTGTTGAACAGTAGCAAGCACAAGCCTGGTTGAATCATGAAAGCTGCGTGATATCAAGTCACCAGTGGTTGTTGCTGGGTGTGGCCCCAATGAGTCCTCCCTTAGCAGACAAAGCAGCCCTGGAAAGGGCTCAGATCCTCCCCCTGCTTTGTACTGACAGAAACTAAGGCCTGAAGGCTTACAATACAGTTGTGGTTGCCTAGCAATGACCCCTGAGGGTATTTGTTTGTTACAACTACAGGTGTTGCTTCTATTATTTTTGGAGGTGGGTAACCCCAATGTAGTGGGGGTTTTTTAGATTTTACATTTTCCTGCAAATATGGGGTGTTTTTAGATTTGTAGAAAGACCTGTTTGTTCATGGCTTTGTTCTTTGGATTTAAGTATCCACAGATTTGACCATACTGAAAATCAGGTTTATAGATAACAATTTAAAACCAATACAAATATCGATGTTAAGATATGGTTTAAATATATGCAAGTTAAAATATGAAAATATATTGAAGGGAATATATAGATTAGACCTATCTGAAACTAATTATCCGAATACCTCTAAGCATGGAGTGTTGTCTCTCCGGGAATATATAGATTAGACCTATCTGAAATTATCCGAATACCTCTAAGCATGTAGTGTTGTCTCTTCCCACTATTGTGGAACGTCTGCCAGCCCTTGATATCGGGGGGTGAGTAGAAGGACTTGAAAGTGAGAATTAATGTCACAAATCAGTATGCAGGCTTTTGAGTTTGCCAGGAACTCCTTGATAATATGGAGGTTAAAAAAAACATTTATGTCAAATGTTTAAGTCATGGGTGTCAAAACATATGGCCCGCAGGCCAGAACTGGCCCGTCTAGGGCTCTTATCCGGCCCACGAGCAACTGGTCATTACCTTTATTGTTTGTTTATTTTTATTTATTATTGTATTTCTACCCCGCCCTCCCCGCGAACGGGCTCAGGGCCGCTTACAAAGGGCACCATGTGTCTACACATAAAACAATAAAAACAAGTTAATAAAAATAAATAAATAAGACAGTCAATTTCACAAAACAAAGTGCTCACTAGTTTCAATCTCTCGATATAAGAAGATGGTATCTCAAAAATGTTATAAAGCAACAATACTTCACTAAGGGGGATAATGTCCCATAGATATTACTCGTCCCC